GGTTATTATCATTAATGCTGTAATTATTATCATTGCTATTATTATTAATATTTCTATTATAATTATATTTGTTCGTGTTGCTGTTGTTATTCGTATCATTATTGCAGTACGTATTGTTATTATTATCATCACCATGGTATAATTAAAATTATCATCAATTATTATTATCATGAATATTAATATTATCGTTACTTATTTTTGTTCTTGTTATCACACTCATATCATAACAATTATTACCACCATTATTATTATTATGATTATCATAAAGATAATGTTATCATTATTATCATTATTACCATTGTTGTCACGATTATTATTGTTGTAAAAAAAAAAAAAGCGAGGAGTATTGGAAGAGAAAAGGGAGAGGAAACGGAGGGAACTTAAAGAGGAAAATGGGATAGGTTAAAGAAATGGAAGTGAAAAGGTGCTCAGAGAGAAAAAAAAAGGAGGGGGGGGGGGAAGGGAAGAGGATAAAGTAGCGAAAGAGGTTAGGGAGTATAGGGAGGAAGAGGTGGGGGGGGTGGGGGGGGTGGCAGATGTAGAGCTTAATGTGGAAGATTTGGTAGTGAAAAGGGGTAGCCGAACGAGAAAGGGAAATGTTATTATCAATATCATTGTGGATTTTTTTAAAATCATTATTACAATTACTACTATCATTTTTATTATCATTATTTTATTTTTTATCTTTCATATTATTTTTTACTTTTTTTATTTTTTACAAAGATGCTTCCTCAGAAATTGATATTAATTAATATGAAATGGATAGATTGGTGACGATTGTCGGTAAGTAGGTAATGATGATTATTTGATAATTAAGAAGTTGGTGAGGAAATTTATTTAAAATGCAAGTTTTCGGCATTGACAATGAAAAAAAAAAAATGGTTGTCGGGTGCCTATGGAAATGGCATGGTAATTCAGTAACCATGAACCATTCCGAAGGGTTTGGTGCTACGAGGGCTGACGAAGGACTACATCGCCCTCGTGTCCGAAGGACCAGGCGTCAAGTACATCGGCAAGAGGAAACTTCTGGAGTATTACTTGAATGAGGAATTCATGGCACCTGAAGACGTGGTGAGTGGAGGGTGTTTGTTGCAATGTCTCTAAGTCGTCTCATGGTATATAGACTTTCCTTCTCTCTATTATTCTTTCTCGCTACTTTCCTTTTATCCTCCTTTCATTTCTCTTATCTCTCAACCTCTTAAACACACTCACTCGCAGGGAAACTACAGCGGCCAAGTGATCGAGATGAAATTCCGCAACCTGTCCACCTTCTACGTCACGTCAACGTACATCCCGACCTTCATCATCGTCGTCATCGGGTACATCGTGTTCTTCTTCCCCGTCGAGGATTTCAACGAACGTATCATGGTGGCTCTGACGGCGCTCCTGGTCGAGGCTGCCTTCTTCACGCAGGTGGGTGGCTGAACGCGGAATCAGGGGGTGTTATTCATGGAAGGTCATAGACTCCGAAGTATGTCTTAGACGAAAAGAGTCGGTAATTTTATATATTCAACTAAAATTTGGGTAACTATAGGTTTGTTGGCAGTGTATCAGCTGTGAAGCGGCGTGGCAACATTTGTATTAAAAAAAATCTTGATGTAAACACGTAGAAAACGGATTAATTGATGGTTGACAGTTAATCAGAATGGGCTTCCAAAATCTACTTGTCATTACTGATGTGTGATTATCTTCATCTGTCTCTGACTCGGAATTTTGTCGGTCTCCCCACGAAAATGTCTAGGGCAGTTTTTGTCTAAGACTCAGCCGACGTTCTAGGACAGGTGGAAGTGTCCCGCGCGTAATAGACTGTCTTTAAAATTACAATGCAATTTTTACACAAATTTGAAGATAAATCTGCAATGATTATGATAGAAAAATCTTTGAAGACCCTTTTGATTTATTGCCAAACATTAATTTATTCGTTTCTTATATCTTATATTTTCTATTCACATCCGCAAAGAATATCTTAAATTTTAATGTCTGTTGAAGATTATTCCGCTTTTGAAAGAATTTGATAAATTATCGTTATTATAAATTGAACCGTCTCCTACATTTTTATTGCTGTATTTATTTATTTAAGAAATACAATTAGCAGTTCCCGCCTTTACACCTTGATGCAGTGACAATAAGCGTAGAGATGCCACATCATATTTATATACACTTAATGTTACAGTTACAATTATAGAGATTTATTACCATATTTTCCTTATCATTTTATTACAATAAATTATCGAAATAGGTTTTGCCATGATTTAAGTGTGTGTTCTACTACCAGCATTAACTTTAAACTGTAGCAACGGGGCATATCAGATTTCAATCTAAGATCTTTCGTAAATACAGCGCCGGAGTCTTAAAGTCTTTGTCTGCAACACGTGGATTAAAATTTTAAAAATGTATCTATGACACATAGACTCAAATGATAAAAATCCCTCTATATAAAACGAGGTCCAGGTTTATACCACACGGATTCATACACAATTAAATCTGTAAATATGATACATGGACTCTAACACAAACAAAAATGTGACTATAACACAATAACCAGGACCTATGTTAGATTTTTTGCCTCCTCCTTTATTTATATTGAACCCAGATGATGTAGGAGATAACACATATCCGGATGATTAGAATATTTAGAATATATGAAGTATTCCTGTTCACGGTGTCATCTACATCAAACACCATCTATAACACACTTGAAATGTTGAAAGCACACATATCTCTAATGCTATTTTGTTACTTGGCTTTAGTTAATCTGTTTCACTTTTATAACTACGGCTCCCGGTTATCCTTTTCACTATTAATCTACTGTTCAGTTACTGCAGCTACCCACTATATTACAGGTGCCTTTCCTGATATGCCGCGTTGCCATTTGCTGGGTTAGTTAATTAGGCCACTGTTGTTGAGAAAAGCATATGCATTTAATTCATGAGGTCTCAGCTAAGTCCTATGTCCTTGGTTTCAACTGTCTCATGTTCCTCATTTCAACTCAGTTTCAGCCTTAGTTCCATGTCCCTCGTTTCAGTGCCTCAGTACCGAGCTTAGTATGATGTTCCTAGTGTCCCAGTCTCAGTCTTATGTTCCAGTCCCATGGGGGTTAGAAGGCTGGCATAGAAATTGTTTTGTCATTCCTACTTTAATCAGACAGCTGTAACAAATTTTGTAAAATATGTACTTACATACTGATAATGTGGATGATATTGTGCTTATGCATGTTTGTGTCTGTACCCGTGTGTATTTGGTGAGTAAATGAATGTAAACCTCTCTCTGATGAGCTCCATACATCTCTCTCTCTAGAGAAAATAAAAACAAACTGCACTTATATTTCCAGATGAGCTCCTCGATCCCCCAGACAGCTTATCTTAAATTGGTGGACATCTGGTTTGTGTACTGCATCACAAGCCTCTTCTTGGTTGTTGTTACAGTTGCTTTCATCAACTGGTGCAAGGTGGGAATGAATAAATCGTGGTAAAATTAAACTACTAAATTATGTTTTAAGGTTGTAGAATTGGCATGTATTTGGAAATACATGAGGTGTCTTGTGATAAAAAGATTAGGTGGACTTCGTATGAATGAGTATTATTAGCTGATTAATTCTAAGAATGTGTTCTCTGCTCCAACAGAAATGTGCCCCTGCTTTCGTACTGTGGTTGAGGAAGCACGAAGTCAAATCTGAAGGCAGGCTTGCATCCCGCCGTACCGCTCTCGCTTCCAGGTTGAATATCCTTTGCCGCATCGTGTGTCCTATTCTGACTGCTCTCTTCTTCATCTTCTATCTGACCATGGCCGCACTCATCGAAATACCCAAGTTACCCATCGAAATTCCGAATTACCAAAGTTTCTTCTCTAAGTGATTTTTTTTCCTCTTAGCTTCTACTTCATCCCTGGAAGCGTCACCCAGAAAAGCGGTCGTTGAGCCTGTCCTAGGCAGTTTGGCAACGCCTTTTCTTCCACTATTAACGTAATTTTGATTCTTGGTTGATTTACGATTCAGCATTTAAAGCAGCTAGGGTGTAAAATCATGATCCCTGGCTGACTGGTGATTTGAGCCTATGATACTGTAGCGGCAAGTCGTTGAATGCAAGGCCAGAAATAGTCTCTAATAACATCTAACCAACATTTATAACACTTTAGACACCAGCCAACCAGCAACTACAATGATCCAGAAATCAGAGCTTTCACTTTAAGAGTCTTGATATATTAAAAATACTTTCAACATGAAGGAATTTACTGTACTTGAATTGTACGCAGTTTTCCGGTACGTAAGACTGTATTTTTCAGTGTACCTCCTCATTCTAACCACACATCTATGTAAATAATGCACTTGATAGAAGGCACCAAGTACAATGCTTTGAGAAACTGTGTAACCAGGACGTTCACAGATCTCAAGGTTACTCACACATTCCTCACACACCGATATTGCCTGTGTTATATATTTCTTTGGTTTTCCTAACTGTAGTGATTGCATGGTCGCTGAGATCATTCGTGAACAGAACTTTATTAGAGACAACGAAATATCACAGTGTTTATCTTAATGAATATTTGCTCTGCCTGATTATGATTTTTGCATCGATATTTAACGTTTATATTAGTAAGCCAATCATTGATTTAGCACGTACAATCAATTGCACTCTTGTTATTTGTAAAAAAAAAAGAGAGAGGGGGGATATATAGGAGTATGTCCTATTACGTTCCAATTTCCACGGGTATTTTTTTTCTTTTCCTTTTTGAATCCATGAGCTTGATGTAGAAAAGAAAATCCTATCGTCCAGTTTTATTTTCGTAAACCATTATGAAACTGCAAATAAGGAAATCATATACATTACCAAGTAACAGTAATAACAACCATCATAATATACTGGACATTCACTGGGGTCGTCCATGCTGTCACGTGACCTAAATTGGTATCGAAGTGCCAATTGTTACGTGCTTGTTACTCCTGTTACTTCAGAAGTACTGTTGAATGTATTTTAATTATTGCTAATAGAACTCGGTACTATACAGACATATCAATATCATTATTTCTTGTATCATTTTTTGTCACTACGTAATAAAGTCTAAATTGTGAATCTTAGTTTAACATCTGCCTTATAAATAGGAGTTATGAAAGTCAATTAATAATTGAAATGGTAATTAGAATGATCATGATAATAAGTGATAATCATAGTAATAATAATAATGAATCTGAATAATAATGAAATTGAAAATGAAAATGATAATGGTGAAAATAATAACAGTAGTGATGTCGGCGATGATGATGATGATGATGATGATGATGATGATAGTAGTAGTAGTGATAACAAAATTCATAATTATATTGATAATAATAATATTCATAATAATGATAATATTAGCAACCGTAATAAATAATTTCAGTAATTTGCTGATAAAAGTAACCATTAACAATATGAATACCAATCACACCAATAACGATAGTGATCTGCATTATCATTGCTGTTATATCTACAGTTATTGTTGTTCTTAATGGCAGTATTTCTACTATCAGTGTAATTATTCTTATTGATATGGTGATAACAGAGGTAATGGTAATGATAATGATTGAAATATTAAGCTACATATACATGAACGTATGGACAAACATATGAACTGTACGCTAATTTGAACAAGGTAAGCAAGGTTATTATAAAATTAATCATTATCTGTCATAAAAGAAAAGAGGAAAACGTAGGTAATGCTCGCAACTTTTGCAATGTTATTTCTAAAGCGTACAATCTGTGGTGTCCAACTTATGTGGTGTCCTGCTGTTGTAGTGTTCAACCTATGTAGTGTCTAATTTTTGTGTATAACCTTTTAGACACAACATTGTCTCACTTTTGCAATGCCCAACTTCCCAAGCTATCTTTTGCATTGTTCAACTTATGTGGTGTCCAAGCTATACAGCAACCAGCTTTTGTGGTGTCCAACTCATGAAGTAAAATATAGGCATTGTCTAGCGTAAAGAGTGTCTTAAATTTGTAATATCCAAGCTAAGGAGTGTTTGAAGCCTAGCAGTATCTAAGGTAAGGAGTGTCCAGCCTACAGTATGTAGCTTTCATCCCAAGCGTCCAGCCAAGAGTTCAACTAATGCTCTATGCAGCTTATAGAATATCTGTTACGTGTATTTTCCAATCTATACAGTCTTCGAACTATCATGTGTCTAACAAAAGGAATGTCTCTGTTAGACTATCTCAGTAAGACTATCCACCTTCATCTATGTTTATATCCAGCCTGATGAGTGTCTAACCAATCGAGTGTCCAGCTTGAGCAGTTTACATCTGGTTAACTATATGGACTTCAAATCCACAAAAGATAAAATCCAATATTCTGACCATTTGTTTTCTTTATATGGACAGATATAGACTGCCTGTTTGTTGATGGATATAAGTTACAACTTAACTGCATGTTTGGCTTTCAAAACAGAATGTATTTGAAAGTCGTTCTATCGTATGTATGCTTGTTGTGCATGGAAGAGCAACAATTTCAAAAGAGCATAACAACAACTGTCATAATAGTAGTTTTTTTTTATTAGCTTTTACCAAAGATTGGTTTCACAGTTTCATTCATATTTGTTATATTCATTCATTTTTGCCTTTCATACATGGCAGCTAATTGTTAATTTGCATAGAGCCAGCACTGTGCGAATTATATTATGAATGTTAGTCGATCAGTAATAGTATTTGGATACTTCTGATATATATATATGTATATATATATATATATATATATATATATATATATATATATATATATATATATATATATATATATATATATATATATATATATATATATATATATGTATATATATATATTTAGAGAGACATACATAAAGTTAAACACATGCGAACAATGCTCCAATTTCTTGTACTATATTACACCGACATTACTACACAATGTTTGTTAAAACATTTAAATATCCCCTATCACATTTTTTTCTTTCTTTTTGCGACATCAGACTGGACGAATCACCATTCAGGTCCCTTCTCTTCTCTGTGCTGAACAAGTATAAAAGAGTCGCAAGCAAATCTCAACAAAAGAAAGCACTCCAGCAAAGCCCAGGGCATCTCAGAAGGCAAACTGGAGCTGTGTTATATTGTGTGACTATATCTCTATTCAGTTGCTGTCCCTGTGTCGAAGGTCAATACGGACAGGGTAAGGTTTTGGCTTAATGACTTATCGCTACTGCTGTATACTGTTCTTCAAAGACTTTACACTGAAGGAAAATATGATGTATCTTATTTTATAAAGGAAGCTAAAGCATAGCTTGAGCTTATTAATATTTCTATAACAATTAGAGTCAGAGAATGCTGTTACCATGGCAACGTTTCAGCGTAGTGGAGCTGCCTCTACAGACACTTACCTGAAGTACCTTGGCGAAATACCAGAGCTTGCCCAGCTTACCTTCTGCTTCCGCTTGTATCTCACTCAAGCACGTGACGAAATCATAGTGCTTTCATATGCCCATCCTGAAAATGACGACGAATTATACATTGGTGATTATTGCTTATTTTGAAAAATAAACGAAACACAACTAAACAGAGGGTTGTTGGTCCTTCCTAACAGGATGAGTTTACATTTCATTATACTATAGATATACCGTCTGAAATGATATCCTGCCTTACAAAACATTTTGTGCATATATGAAAGCTTCAGCTACACCAGATATTCTCTTCCATTGCATATTGATCTAATCCAAGTATTTTGTCAGGGTTTCATTACAGAAATAAAAAGCTGATGATGAGATGCTGCAATCGCAAATGGGAACGGGATGTGAAGTTGAAATTGGAACTTCGTAGCTGGTCGTCCATTTGTGTGGCTTTGGACCTTGGTGGTGGGAATAATGAAGTCCTCCAGGATGGATTGATCAAATTTGGAGTCGAGAACGACATCCTTGATCCTCTGCACGTGCGTGGTGGAGGTATGTTATACATTGGTCAGGAACAGGATCGGCCTGGAGGAGGATTCACCAGGACCCAAAGCTTTGCAGGATCCTTGGTGGATTTACGCCTTTATGATAAGACCCTGTCTAAAGATGGTATGGAAAACTACACCAAATGTGAACCTATGCATGTCTCTACAATACCTATCCTATCCTTTGCTGAGATTACCGGTGATTTCGAAAATAGCAAAGTTGAAATAAAAAGAGAGAGCAATAACCACTTCTGCAGCAAGCAGACGCCCTACGATATCTTATTTCCGGAGGTGCAGACATTTAATCAGGCTTCTCATTTCTGCCATGCCCTCGGAAGCACCTTGAAGGCACCAAAGAATAAAGATGAAAACACAGCCCTTAATAAACAATATCTTCGGTATGTCAACAGTTGCAGCAGCATATGGATCGGAATTCAGCATAATGTGACAGGAAGGTACTGGTACGACAGAACAAACCAGAGGAAAATCACCTATGCTAACTTTGGGAACCAAGTGGCATTCGATGATTCTGAGGCCTGTGCATCATTCAAACGAAGCCAAGACACTGTTTCTTCAGGTGTGTGGTCCCCCAGAAGCTGTACAATGGAATTCTGTGCCGTCTGTCACTTTGTTAAAATCTCATTCTTAAAGCTGCGTGGACTATGTGAAAGGTCACTCTTCGACCATGAATACTTTCTTTCTGATGAGAAAGGTGTACCTGTGTTTAACGGAGTGTACTATTCCATCATGACCAAACATCTTCCCCCTGAAAATGCGTCGGCATCTGATTTTGGCTACTGGCAGTTGTTGCGCCTAGATGACCCCAGCATTAATGCAACATTCACTCTGAAGTTTCCTACTCACTACCCGGTGGGCCTCAACAACTGGACAGTGAGCAATGATGCTTGTGGCAGCCATGAAGTCATGCTCAGAATGACCTCATGCATGGAACATCAGTTTTCCTGCGATGACGGAACTTGCATCCCCATCCACCAGCGATGCAACAAGGAAATCAACTGCCTCGATGAATCGGATGAGATCTCTTGTGAGTTCTTGTCTTTTCCATCTATGTATGACGAAAAGTCGCCACCGCCACGACTCCATCTATCTACCCCAGTTAATGTATCTGTTTATGTCGTGATCCTGTCGATGCGTGCATTTGACCTCACAGGTTTCAATTTCGTGTGCGAAATCGAAGTGCGCTTCTCGTGGAAGGACTCTCGGCTGATGCTGAACCACCTCAAGACAGACAGCTCACTGAACATCATTCACCTGACAGAGCAAAAGCCTTGGATGCCCAAAGTGGAGTTCTTCGGAGATGCATTGACCACAAGCAATGTAATCACGCGCCATAGCTTCCTCATGGCTCTGCGGAACACAGACCCTTTACCTGACAACAATGAAAAATTATGGGAAGGTATAGTTTAAAGTCTATTGAATAAGAGAAATGTTTATCAATACTTGTGCATGAGTGGGATCCTTGCTTTTTGTCCGGCAAACTGCTTATTTTGATGGTATACCTCGGGAAAAAAATAATAATTTGATTTTTTAAGGAGAATGTGACAAAAAATTGTTTTTATGATTAAATTTTAATCAGAAAACTCTCGATCGAATAAACATTGAAGCGTCGAACAACAAATGGTCTAGTATTGGTATCATTCATTTACCATCTAATATAAAATGAAGTAAAACTTAGATGCTAATATATTGTTCGAATAGAAAAATTTAACCAAAATTATTTTCAAAAGTTAATAAAATCTCTGGAACAATTAAATATGTTGAAGTTGATTATCTTTGTCATAATGTATAAGTCATATATAACTCATATAAGTCAACACCTTAATTTCCTGAAAAATGGACTTAAAAACTCGATCTATTCACAACTATATGCGGCAAACAAATACAAACTTTTAATATTTACTAACAGCTGTACATAAAGTACTTTGTGATGTTCCTGTTCTTTGCGTCTGTTATTTACTGTCAGTCCTTTCATCTCTTAATGTATACCTCACCCTTCTGAAGTTTCTCATGCTTACGGATTCTCACTTTTACACAGATGAGACTTTCGAAGGCCGCCATAATCCATTGG